AAAGAAATCTAACTATGGGAGGTGAACGTACAATGCAATATATGTATATATGACTTACTGTTGAATTGTACACTGGAAACTTATTGGATTTCATTAACCAATGTCATCATAATAAATTTAAAAAATAATAAAGTATATGGAGGACGTGTGTAGGTTACATACAAATACTCTACCATTTTATATAAGGGACTTGAGCTTCCATGGATTTAGATTTCTATGGGGGTCCTGGAACCAATACCCCCTGGATACCAAGAGATGACTCATTCTTTCCAAGCATTTCAAGAATACGTGAAGTTCTTATCATGCTTTTTGTTTCAAAATATTTTTATAGTGGAAGCTTCTTTTGGTCATCTTTTCCAGGCTTGTCTTTGTCTTGCCTGGAAGAGAAACTGTGATGCTTCCAGTGAGCTCAGATCACCTCTTCTCTTGTTTCAGTCTGCTGCTGCTGCTGCTGCTCCTGCTGCTACTGCTGCCTTTTGCCAAAGGGATGGATTCCTGTGCCATTGCCAGGAAAACATGTTAGTCACTCTCCTCCGAGTTAGAGCTTGCACTGCTGGCACCCAAGTGTCAAACTGTAATCGTCTGTGATATATTTAGATTTTTACCTCACACTGCATTTGAACATTAACTACATGTCAACAAGAAAATAAATGGTCCTGCTTTGGTTGTGAAGCAATGTATGGGCAGAATGCCACATGAACTTGTTCACAGTAACATTGTTCCTAGTAACACTGATTTTTTATCGAATTACAAATATTCACACTCAAAATTCCTCTTTAATCAGGAAAAGTGAGTTATTATCAGAGGCCACAGGACATTTTTAAAATCATTGTCTTTGAATCTTAGAGGCACTAAGTAAAGTGCATTTTGTCCTGAGATAAATGAGCTGTTTTCAGCCTAAGGGAAACCAGTACAGGATATACTGAGTTCTGATGAATTAGATAGTTAAAACAAAAGGTGGTGAAGAAAGCTTTGTAATTTGTAGAAAGGAGATGGCAACTGCTACTATGGCAGGATAGCTCCCTGGGGGAGGGAGTGAGGGTGCCGGTTCCCTCCACACTTTGGAAAGGACAAGCTGGAGCAGAACTGGGCTGAGCAGGTCAGAGTCATGTTTCCACTCTCAACAGACCACACCAACAAGCGTGACTTTGGGGTGGAGTTGGAATGCCAGCTGCTGGAGGTGGAAAAAGGCTGGGTCTGGGACTGAATGAAAAGAGGATGAGAGTGATGGATAAGGAGGTTGTGAGTTAGGCCAGGGAAATTTTTAGTGATCAAGGGACCTAGATGAAGGGGTTAAATATTCATGATCATATCAGCTTGTTTGACTTGGAGAAATCTGTGCAAAGTTCATCCAATATTTTAACATTATAAAGAGGGAAAGGGCTGGGCCTGATACTGCAGGCCAAATGTTATAGTGTAATCAGCCTGACAAAGGGCAAAAAGTGGGGCTTTGGAGAGGGACTTCAGAATTAGATCATAGTGCTACAATGCAAGCCAACCATTTTATAGAGTGAGGAAGGACCCTAAGATTTAGGCAATTTGGAGTTAGAAGTGGATTGTAATGATTTTTTTTTTTTTTTTATATCAGAAGAGCATTATAATCAGAAAAATGCTTGAGGGGAAAAAGCAGGAGTCTAAATTGTGTTCTATTACTCCTTAACCAGTATTTCTTATATTTATACTTATATTTCTGATTAAACAAAGTTAAACAGGACTTCTCAGAGCCTTTAAAATGATAATGTTAACCTATTAATATCTCCTGGCACACTATCCTGGAGGACACACTTTAACTTAATGTTAAAAAAAGCACAACCAAATTCAACCACCATATGTAACAAAAACACTGAAAGTATTTCAAAATATCAGCAGTGAATGACTCTAGTTGAATTCTTTCTCCTACTCTTTTTTAGCACCTGGTCTTCCTAGGTGGTCTCCCATCCAAGTACTAACCAGGCCTGACCCTGTTTAGCTTCCAAGATCAGAGGAGATCAAGTACATTCAGGGTGGCAGGGCTATAGACTCTTACTCTTTTGTATTTCCCACAATTACTTTGATGAACCTCTAGAAGGAACATGAAATTAAATAAAGTAGTGGTGTAGTTGTAGGAGGTCCATGTTGAAGTCAGAGTTTTAAAAGCTGCGTGACCTTGAACAGGTTCCCAAACCTCTCTGGGTCTCAGTTTCCTCAACTATAAAATTGGAAAACAACACCTACCTAATGGGTTTGCTATGAAGATTAAATGAATTATGACATTCAAATCACTCAGCACAATGTCTGGCACATACTGTAGGAGCTAGAGACAAAGTAACTACAATTATTACTGAGCTATTAGAGTTTTAGAGTGTTAGAAAGAAGTGCTGGTTTGACTAAAGGCACTGGTCCACTCATTATGATATCAGGGAGACCAGAAAACACCATTTTCTGAGTTTGTAGCTTCCTCCTGAAGCAAAGAATTACAGAAACTGCTATAGGGTGTAGGACAGGATTCTGTAGGACAGTTGGTAGGGATGATTATGAAATCTCAAATGACTGAAAACCTTTTTTCTCATGGTGAGCAGCCTATAAATACTGTATTTTAAAACAAACAAACAAACAAACAAACACTTTCCTGATTGCTTGGAACTAAATTAATCATCCCACCAGTAAAAGGCATTTGACCACTTCCTTTTTCTAAAATACTCTGCTGAATGAAAAGAACTTGTGCTCCAACCACCGCAGTGCCTCCAACATTATTCTGGCAACTTCATTGTTTCACGATTGTGATTTTTGGAAACTTGTCATTAAGATTCTTCAGAATTCTTAAATAACTGTTTCTGACTTCATTTATTTAAATAACCCAGAATAGCCTCTTGAGCTATAAGTTTGATGATCCAGGAAACTATTTATAGCAGGATGAGTACTCTCTGTGACTGATGTTACTTACTTATGTTTTATTTTGAGAAGGACAAATCCGTAAAAAGATTGATAGGGTTGATGGTATTTTAAACTGAAAGCATTGCCAAGGCAAATAAGGCAAGTAGATATGAAACTGGAACATAAAGAGATATGGGCGTGCTTTTTGCTAGTTTAGCTAAAGGTTGGGGAGGCAGAGTCCGTAACCCAGATGCAGTGATTTTTTAGGTGGATTAAACATTTCTGCCTGGGGCAGGATGGCCTCTATTTGCCCAGTCTTTAATAACCTAGAGCAGACGGAGACAGGAACCATCATAACTAAGGCCAATACTGTCCTTGGTGTTACTTATATCCTCCTAGGAAGGAGAAAAATTGGAAATAGAGGAAGGTTAAGGTCAATGGAACTTTTCTTTAAAAAAGCTTTTTTTTGCTAGGAGCCCTTAATAGTAGAATCATAATTATTCAGAACAAGAAATCACAACAAATTACTGGAGACTGGAGATTCAGATGCCCTTTCTTCTGAAATCTCATTAAGCAATTTATCAGAAATGCTTATTACATAAAATTGCTTCCTGATCACAAGCTGGCTTACCCTCCGCACCTGGAACACGCCGTAACTCTCAGCAACTCTTTGCTCTCCCAGGTGCCCATGTTAAGTGAGTGAGAGGCACTTAAATATTCATTAGCTTTTGTAATTCTATCACTTACTGGCTGGCCTGAACGCACCTAGGTAACGTATCATGTGCCCCTCGCATCCAGCTCAAGACAGGGGCTTGGAATATATTGGGGATTAAAAGGCTTAACCCCGCAGACTGAACAAAGGACATGAGTGGTTTAAAGAACGGTGCGACAAGGTTGAAGGGAAAAAAGCAAGGCGGTTAGACTGAGAGTGGATTCCTGCCTGAGAGGGCGCTGTCTTTGATTATGACATAGCTCGACTTGAGGCCCTACTCGGGGCCGGGTTCCAACGGCGGCTTTCACCTCTACCATCCAACCCACCCCGAGGGTAGAGGTGAGGGGCCTCTGGACTTGGAAGATTAGCTGGCCCTCCCATTTTGGGGGCCCAATACAAGGTGGGGCTCCGGCGGGGGGGAACCCCACCACCGGAAGTTTCTTTGGAGATAAAGAAAAAACGGCGGAAGTAGGCCAAATGCGCTTCCAGCCAGCCTTTATTCTTTTGGAAGGGGAGGTGCTTCACTGTTCTTTGCCGCCGTGGAAAGCCCCCGTGGCGGATTCTGTGTGCAGGTTCAATTGGCCAGCTCTGCCTCTCATACATCTCTCCACCGCCTGTATCCTTTCCCAAGTTATCGTGCCGGGACATGACGTACGCTTGTACGTACCTGGGGGCGGGACCTCAAAAGGAAAAGCGTCTGAGCCCAGATCTCGCGAGAACATTCCTTTCCTTCGCAGTTATCGCTCTGCGGCTTTACTCTCGTCGCAACGAGATCTTTCGAGATCTTCTCCGCCCCCGCTACCGGCGCTCTCTCTGCGGCCGCTGAGCCGGAGCCGGCCTGAGCAGCGCGCTCCGCTGCGGTCCCATTTCCGAGGACCTAGGCGCTCGCGTGGACACTCGCACGTACCTCACTAGCACCTGTCCCTCGGCCCACGCGGCCCGCTCTACGCGTGCCAGCCCCGCCGGGGTCCGTGTCCTGTCTCGCCGGCCGGACCCGGGCTCGAGCCCGAGCTGCAGCCAGCGCCATGTCGGTGGTGGGCATAGACCTGGGCTTCCAGAGCTGCTACGTTGCTGTGGCACGCGCCGGCGGCATCGAGACCATAGCTAATGAGTACAGCGACCGCTGCACGCCGTGAGTGTGGGCCAGGCCGGCCGCGTGCACGAGGGGTGGGGAGGTAGCAACTGCTCGGGTCTGCCACCCTTGCAGCTGGGGAACGCGGGTCAGGGAGTCTCCTCCTTTCCGAACCGAAGGCTTGGTGGGTAGAGGACCCCCTCCGCACCGGATGCCAGGTGACTAGTGGCCGTGACCCGCCGTATGGGTCTGCGCCAGGGAGCGAGGCCTTTTCCCGGTGGCCCGCCGGCTAAGCGAAGGCTGTGAGCGGGTACTCGAACCAACGGAGGGTACTGGTAAGAGCTGGAGAGAAAGCATACAGACCTGGGATGTAGGATAGATCGTCGTCTTTGAGCGGGCAGAGACCATGCCCAGGGCATACTGACGTTTCTTGAGCCCAACACAGCGTTCAGAGTTTTGTACACAGCAAGCACTTAATAAAAATTGAACGGGTTCAGGCGTCTGCTAGTGGCAGGACAGCGGAGCAGACTGAGTCCCACGTGCGTGGGGGCGGGGCGGCGCCCGGAAGAGAGGGAGCCGGAGGGTCAATCTCCGGACGGACCAGGGATCTCGGGATTGGGGTGAGACAGACATATATCAGAAAGCTTTTCATAAAATTGATGCTTTCTCGATAACCTTTGCATTCATTTTGTTTTCTTCACATCGTTTCCGTATATTAAACTATGTTGGGTCATTCTCTGCTGTTTTGTGCGCATCCATTTTCACAGTAATACATTCCAGCCAGGGTGTTGACTGCAATTATTAATGACTCAGGGACTCACTTTGACTTTTAGAATCTATAGTAACTTATGGGACCAGTATAGACATAGCTTTAAAAAACCGTGACTCACTCAGGTCCTTCCTTTGTTAGAGTAAAAAAGTCTACTTTTTGAGTACGTAGAGATGCCTTTTAGTCCACTGTCTTTCTCTTGGACAAAGTCTTTAAGCAGCTTGGTATTATTTTCTAGGTTCTCAGTGTAGCCGTTCACGGGCATCTGTTCGAAGGCGCGTTTTTTACCCTGACCTTTGTCACGCTTCTTAAACAGATTGCTAACCAAACTAGATTGCCCTGTTAGCCTGATCTTTTCTACCTAGAAGGCTCACAGCATTTCCCTCCACTTGTCATATTTCTACCCCTTGGTTTAGACCTAATCCAGATGCTTCCCCAGAAAACCCATTTCAGATCCCCAAACTGAAGTTTGATGTCCCTTTTCGATTGCGTTTATAGTTTTTAACAGCTATATCGAGATGAAATTTGAAGTGTACAGTTTGATTGTTTTTGTGTCACAAAAATTGTGTAACAATCCTCATAATCAATTTTAAAACATTTTCATTACACCTCACTCCCCCTTTTTATTTTTTACAGTTTTTAATAATGGGTATTATGTTCTAATTTATATTTCCAGGAAAGGGTATTGTATGCTGAAGTTTTTTTTTTAAGCATTAAAGTTTATTTTTAAGCGTTTAGGCATTAATTTCCTATTTGATATTGTATTCCTCTCTAGATCCTACTTTTCTTAATCTGTAAAGATAGCCTCCAAGGAATTAAAAAGTCTAGAGCACTGTGTTAGGCATGTAACATCTAGGTCCTTTCTTGCCTAAAATTGGACACTTTTTAGCTTCAGAGGGAAGAGAATCCCAAATATTGGAATAGTATTCCTGTCCTTTCTTTTAGACTGTTATGTTATGCTCTATTTTTTTTAGACAAATAGCAGTTACAACAGATTTACCATGAATTCCATTGAAACTGAGTCATTTCAGTAAAATTAAATTTTCCCAAATCGCAGTTAAATTTGCCTCAAAGACTAAGTGATGGGTGACCAAATACACCATGTAATTGTGACAAGAAATACCTTTTAAATACTTTAAATAGTTTTCCTTGTATGTTTTCCCTATATTTTCCTTTCTATTCCCCCAGGAACTTACAGGGATGCCATATACCCATGTAATTTTTGAACTGATTTTGATTAGCTTATATTTCTCTGTTGGAGTCTGGTTAAGTAGAGCATGGGAGCAGAAAGGTTAATCTTTGTAAGTGGTTATGGAAAAATGGTTTTATACCTCAGGGGTACAGACTGTGATATAGGTTTGTTTTTGTGTGAGTGGAAATGAGACCATTCTAGAGGGATGGCTATGATGAAAGTACCTCATTTCAAGTTGTTGGGGTAACAGGAGTTTGATTCAGTTGTTGAGAAGCCAGTTGAGCCTTACGTAGAGGAGACCCTTGCTTTTTTTTTTTTTTTTTTTTTTTGAGAAAATCTTAAATTTTTAATCCTTTCTTTACAGATTACCTAGACCACTTTTGAGTAAGAAAACTGTAGAAAGTTAGTAACTGCCACAAGCAAACGCCAGGTGGTGGTGGCTGGTGTCAGTTTTCTACAGAGATCTGCTTTGCAGGTTGTCCAAATGCACTGCTGTGGGGCTCTGCTCACACTGGCTGGAATCAGTCACCGCAGATTTTAGGCCACAGGTCACTTTTCTCCATATTTCTTTGTAAGCTCTTCAGCGTTCTTACAGAATTTTTTTAATGGCCCTTAAAGTATTCTTCAGCTAGGTTGGCCCAAACGGCGTGCTCACCTAGGGGTTGTTCACCAGTACTAGGGAAAACTGGATTACTTGGTCAGCTTTGGTTGCTGGCTTCTAGTTTTCAGCACTAATTACTGGCAGACAGACCTGCCCCCTTTAGTCGATGTTTGGGTGATAAATCTTTGTTTTAAGTGTGATCTTAAGTAGTTCGAGTGGGTACTCTGCTGGAAAGTTGATTTCAATTCTGAAGTCCCTCTTATATGGAGGGTTGTCAGGAACAATAAGCCTTTCCCAAGTCAGTAAATTAGCTTCATCAACCTGGATGTTATGGAAATTTTTCATTCCACATTTTTGAATGTCAAGCTCCTTCATTAGCCTCCTGCTGGCTGCCATCTTGGATCTGGGGCTGCTGTAGTTCCTCAAGACACTTGCTTTTCCACTAAATTTAGGTTTCCTTCGTTTTAGCAAATATCTAATGTTTCCAAAATGCCATCCTTTGTGCTAACTACTAGAGGTGCTCTGGTGAACAAATAAATGGATGTGGCTAGTAGAAAAAGCCAGATGCTACACAAAATACTTAATTACTAACTGGTAAAGGCCCAGATGGAAAAGTACAAGATACGATGACAGGGGGACATAACTTGTACTGGAAGTGGGGTGGAGGTGGTCAGTATTCTTAAAGAAGTGCCATTTAAGTTGGTACCTGGAGGTTGAGTACCATGGAAGTTGTGATGGGTCCGGGAAAGAGCTGTTCCAGGCGGAAGGAACAGCAAGTGGGGAAGAAGAGCTTGGCACACTTGGCAAGACTTAGAGGTCATAGCTGGTCTTGAGCCACTTGAGAGAATGGTGTGAGATAAATCTGGAGAGGAGGTAGGTGGGGCAGACTAGATTATGGCAAAGCTTTGTAAATCATGTTAAGGATTTTTATCTAGGTGCAATGGGAGGTGATCCAACTTGTATTTTTAAAATGTGATTAATTTTTTTGGAGAATGGATTTATTGGAGAAGTGTAAAAGAAGCAGGGTGATAATTTAGAAGGCTGTTGCACTATTTAGTCCACGTGTGAGTTGATGCTGCTCTCCAGTATTGTGGTAGCATGGGAGAGAAGGGTGGGCAGCTTTGAGATGAACTTTGGAGTTCTAAATTAGGAGTGCCAGTGTTGAAGTTTTTGACTATAGGCTTTGGAACAAGATGGAAAGCTTTTTAAATATTTAGTTGGATTATTGCAGTAGAAAAGGTACAACCACAAAGCTTTTTTTTTGCAGTGTTTTTGGATTGCCAAAGATTAGAGAAGTTGATTGAGCCATACTTTCTTTCCAAAGTGAACACTTTATAGGGCAGAAATTAGTTACTTAGAAAATAGTTGTGTGTATGAATTGTTTATATTATCGGTTTCATAGACTTAGTTCCTAATAAACCAATATATTAATAATTTGAAGAGATGAAATTGGCTGTTAATAACTGCCCTTGAAAGAGTAAGGGCTGAAAGTATGTATAGTTTCTGGCAAGAAAATTATTCCTCTATGAAGCGAATGTCTTTACATGTTGTATAGATCTAAGAGCAGCAGGATGACTTAGATCTTTTGGATTCAAAGAAAAGAAAGTTGATTTGTTAACTAAAGCTTCAGACACCACTCCCCCTCATATGTCTGATTGCAGAGGGTATGAAAGTAATTTCTTAGAATCATTTAAGAACTAAAACAACCTTGTATACAAAATTGGTATAAGTAATCTACACGACCTTTGTCATTAGATTCTAAATTGTTTCCTAAATCAAAACATTTTTTTCTGACTTAACAAAGTGCTTGTTTGCTGTAACAATAAAAACACTAAAGTGCTAAAGTAAAATTATATTTCTTCCTCTAATTATTTGCTCTGTATTCTTGTATACCTTTCTCTGTATTTCTATAAATATTTCTATAAATACATGGTCCGTGTGTGTTTAAACAAATAGGATCATATTCTGTAAATATGATTACCTATTATTGACTCAGGAATTTGCTTTGCTTTAGTAACTGTTTTGGCCTGTTTGACATCAACTTTTTTTTGGGTACTTTTAGTTCGGGACTAAGGCAGTGACCAGAAGATACTACGATTAATATAGTAACCGTTTCCATGCCAGATATGCCAACATCTCTTATATGATAGTCTAAATACTATTGTCAGTTCTTTTAAAAGCTTAATTCTCTTATGTTGTTTAAGAAAGTGAATTAGAGCAACAGTTGTGCTAATGCTGAGAGCTATTCTATACACAAACATGAAACTACCTTTTACGGATCTGCCAATAGCAGCTATTGACAGTATCGTATCAGAATGTGCATAAATATTTGGTCAGTAGTATTTCTTAGCCAGGACAGGGAGATCAGTGCTATTCTCTGGCTTAAAAAGAATATTTCTAGGTCCTAAAGGTTAGAACAGTCTTGAACTTGATTTGAATTAACTTCCAATAATTTGGAATGTAAGAAAAGTAATATTAGTCGAATAGCAAGTATCTGAGTACTTACGTTTTTAGCAGCATTAATTTGGCGTCATTTATAGAGGAAATATAGGGTAAAGATTCTGCTGTCTAGAGATTTAATCATTCTGGTTGGAAATATGAATGACATAAAGCAACAATGAAAGGTTATTTAAGTACAGACTTAAAATATCGAGTACAGAGGAGAGGTTACATCAGTGGAGGATGGAATGATGAGGAAGGGCAGGAGTGAGGCTTGAGCAAATAGGATTAGAATGTATTCAGGAAAAGACTGGGACAGTTCAAGGGAAGGTATAGAAGTAGGAATAAGTATAACAGGTATGGTTTGCAGTACTAAAATATGCATGTATAGGATTTGGAGTCCAATAGTCTTGATTTTGAGTCTTGAACTCCTAATATTTACTAGTCATGTTTCTGGGCCCATTAACTTGACTCGAATCAGTTCTTCATTATAACACTGGGTCAGTAGTTCTTTTCTCAAGTGTATTTGGGAGAATCAAGTGTAGAATACTTAGCACACTGCCTAGTGTATGAAGGCCCAGCTGTGAAAGCTGTGGGACAAGGGCGCATCACCTGC